TAACTTCTCTTCCTCCCTCTGGTGGCAAACCCAGGGCTTTTTCTGTCACTGGGGCAACAACGAATTTATCACTCATCTCTCCAATTTCCTTTTCTCATACCCAGGGGGAGGCACAATCAACACTATAACAGTGAAGCTGGATACATGTCAGAGGTCTTGGATAGTTTCTGATGAATTGGTGGTAGATGGCCAGTAAAAGATTTGTTCTGTAGCTTTTATAAATACCATCACCTTGTACCAGCTGGTGTGTGATTCATGCATACAGCCCACCAGAGGAAGTATTTAAAAGTAGAAACCGCCATAGAGAAAGGTACCAAACTATTTCATACATGTTCAGCTTCAGAAAGTTTGGCATTAAAATGGAAGGACATTTATGTAATGTCACAGCAAGTTGCATTTTATCATTTGTTTATAAAATAGTAATTTCTTATTTTAATTATTTCTAATTCCTCCTAAATAGGCAGAAAACTCTACTCACCTGACTATCATACCAACCCCTTACCTTCTCACCAAGCTTTCTGAGGGCAGTCAGGATTTCCAGTTTCTGTTGGGTGTACAGATCTCGTGGCAACTTCCCAACCATTAAGTCTCTGTCCATCTGCATACCAGGGGAGAAAAAGTCAAAATATATAAGCTTCCATTATTATATACCCAACACAACAGCCTGTGAAATGCAACAGCCTAAAAATATCATCAGTAGTAATGGACCCACATCATCTGGATCTTCAGTTTAGATCTCTGAAACATCGAGTGCACTCTCCAGCCCTCAGTACAATCACAGACTTTCTATTGCAGCTTCCTCAGTTCACTCTGTTGATCCCATTTTTGCTTTGAAGCAGGAAGATAGAAGATAACTCAGGAAATACACATGGTTGCCCCCACTACCTCAATAAACATTTAAGACTGAACAAATACTGAAAGAGAACTTCTCCATCTCTTTTGGACTTTATGACCAAGTTTTCCAGCACTCAGTGCTTTCCTTGCAATCCTGACACACTTGAATCAGTCTGCCTCAAATAAACAGCTTTTGCAGTAGAACTGAAGCCTTCACCTCTGCCAGCCTTGTCCTCAATTGCCTCGGCTGCTTCTTTGCAAACATTCTAATCACTTCTGGAGTTTTAAATGCTTGGCTGATGGCTGCTTGTATTGCCTGCAAGGAGAAGAGCAAGATATGTGATTCCTGTTAGTCCTGGTCAAACTACAGCAGCAGGACAAAATTAATGAGGGCTGGAAAGCATCATTAGTATCCTCTGCATCATATGATATACAGAACTCATCTTTTTTTCCATAGCCATGGAAGCGAAATTTTTAAGAAAATTACCTTTATGGAGGGCTTAAAGAATCCTCTAATTAATGTAACTACATTGAGAAAGAGCTGTGAAACTTTTCATTACTGTCCAGGTCTTAATCTCCTACAATGTTAAGGTTGTACTTCATCAATGGGTTTTTTCCCTTTTTCAAATTAAGACACCTATCCAAGTTTTTTACATATACAAGTGTATTAAATTAGGAAATACATTAGTTACATAGATCTATATTTCACATAAAAATTCTAGTGAATCACTTGTATCTATTTGCTATTTCATCAACTCCAAGCAGAACATGAAGTTTTTTAGCAACACATCATCCTTACCAGTTGCATGCCACTGAGCTCATCCACCAAAGTCATATCTCCAGACATAATCTTCTTCAGGGAGTCATTGAATTCACTCAGCTGCTCAAGAGTTTCTTTTTTGGTCTCTTCGTACTCATCTGCATCCAGCTCCTCTCTAGGGAGGACCCAAGAAGGCACAGGTGAATCACAGGATGCAGCCTGAGACACCCATGGGGCACTGGGCCATGGCACAGAGCTTGGTTCCCCAGGCTGCACTGAGGGGTTCCCATCCCTGCAGCCTGAATTGATCTGCTCTGCTCTGCTCCCATCCCTGCAGCCTGCTCTGCTCTGCTCTGTTCCCATCCCTGCAGCATGAACTGCTCTGCTCCCATCCCTGCAGCATGAACTGCTCTGCTCTGATCCCATCCCTGCAGCCTGCTCTGCTCTGCTCTGTTCCCATCCCTGCAGCATGAACTGCTCTGCTCTGTTCCCATCCCTGCAGCATGAACTGCTCTGTTCCCATCCCTGCAGCCTGAACTGCTCTGCTCTGCTCCCATCCCTGCAGCCTGAACTGCTCTGCTCTGCTCCCATCCCTGCAGCCTGAACTGCTCTGCTCTGCTCCCATCCCTGCAGCCTGAACTGCTCTGCTCCCATCCCTGCAGCCTGAACTGCTCTGCTCCTATCCCTGCAGCCTGAACTGCTCTGCTCTGTTCCCATCCCTGCAGCCTGAACTGCTCTGCTCCTATCCCTGCAGCCTGAACTGCTCTGCTCTGTTCCCATCCCTGCAGCCTGCTCTGCTCTGCTCTGTTCCCATCCCTGCAGCCTGAACTGCTCTGCTCTGCTCTGTTCCCATCCCTGCAGCCTGAACTGCTCTGCTCCTATCCCTGCAGCCTGATCTGCTATGCTCTGTTCCCATCCCTGCAGCCTGCTCTGCTCTGCTCTGTTCCCATCCCTGCACCCTGATCTGCTCTGCTCTGCTCCCATCCCTGCAGCCTGAACTGCTCTGCTCTGCTCCCATCCCTGCAGCCTGATCTGCTCTGCTCTGTTCCCATCCCTGCAGCATGAACTGCTCTGCTCCCATCCCTGCAGCCTGCTCTGCTCTGCTCTGCTCCCATCCCTGCAGCCTGAACTGCTCTGCTCTGTTCCCATCCCTGCAGCCTGCTCTGCTCTGCTCCCATCCCTGCAGCCTGAACTGCTCTGCTCCCATCCCTGCAGCCTGAACTGCTCTGTTCCCATCCCTGCACCCTGCTCTGCTCTGGCCCTCTCAGCTCCCATCCAGCTCATGCCCTGCTTGGGTTTGCACCCCTCCCAGCCACCTGCATGGTTCTACCCTTACTGATGTTTAAAAAATCCTAGTAATAAACAAGATACCCCACACCTGAAGCAGTATTTAGAAGTATTTTTGGATCTCAACAAAATTTTGTGGTGAGATTGTCTTGCCCAAAGCTGCAGTGAATGGGATTATCTGAGAAGCCTATCTCCTCACCCAAAGCCATCCCCTTAGGAATAACTGATCCTGCTGTCTAAACCTTGCCCAGCTCCCAGAACAGCACCACCACCCCTCGGCAGTTCTAATTGTTCCTGGAAAAGATACGTACTGCTAGGACAAGTTAGAACTAGAGTCAGAAACCAGCTAAACACAGGGGGCTTAAATGCAACTGTTAAACAGATAAAAGCCCGACCTTCCTGATAATTCACTGTCTCAAATTGTATCAACACACAGAAGATTATTACAAAATCACATGAAGAGTTAGACAAACAAAAAAGTAAACAATGCAACCCCCCCCAGGGATCTATAATTATAAGAAAAACCAAAAGAGCCCCAAAAGCTATTTGTTCACTCCTATTAAAAATCCCATAGAAAAATTGTGATTTTTGTGAACAGCTGTTTAAAGTTTAAAAGTCACACTGAAATATAACATTTCAAAGAAAATACATAGTATTTCTGCTAGCATTTTTCCTAGATATATAAAACAATCTTAATAAAGGTTTTTAAAAAGACTTTTTACTGACACCAATATCCTACCTAATTTAAAAACAGAAAGCCACAGCAAAACACAAAAATAAATAAGCCCCCTCCTAAGATTTTTGAAAGGTACCACTTTCTTCTGCCAACCACTTTAGAAAAATACTATCATATAAGAGGAAAGCAACTATTTATATTACCTGCACTCTTCCAGATCTTGAAGTTGTTGCATTAATCTGTCCAACTGCTCCTCCAAGTTTTGTTTTAGTTTACTGGTCTCTGTTGTTCCTCTTGAAGCCATTTTCTGTTTTCACATGAAAATGTTTTTACATGACACTCCTAAGAGAAAGTACATTTTATTGTTTGTATCAACAATTTAAAACGTATTTCAAACACTCCAAATATTAAAATTATGCAATATCTTTCTGACGGAATGTTTAATCACAACACCCGGAGATCCTTGCAGTGGAAATACAGAAATGCCAGGCTGCGTGCACAGCATTATCTTCAGAGCAAGAGGCGGTTCAGCAGGGCACTCCAACAGCCGCAGCACATACAATCAAGCAGCAATTACTGAAATACAGAGGCCTCGCTATATGACTCAGTAGGTTCGACTCTTCAGCGGCCCCTTGGACCGCTGTTCAGGAGACAGCCCCGGTGCAGGTGTGCGAGGCGAGGCAGCCGGAGAACCGGCGCTCCCCGGGGATGGTGCCGGGGCGGACACGGCGGCCAGCGGCCATCCCGGCCCCACAGCCGCCCTGAGGGAGCGCGGCCCTCGCTCCGGGCCGAGCGCGGCCTGCGGGAGGAGCGGGCGGAACTCGGGCGCTGCCCGGGGCCCGCTGCCCGTTCCCCGGCCAGGCTCCGGCCCCGCTCTTCCCCCTCCGCCCGCCTGGCCCCGGGCCCCCTCACCCCTCAGCCGGGCAGGCCGCGTCAGGGCGGGCTCATCCCGCTCCTGCGGCGCCGCTTCCGCCGCGCCCGGGCCAATGAGCGCGAGCGGCCCCGCGGGCCCGGCCGAGGGCGCAGCGCGGGGTGAGCGGGCACGGGGAACGGGGCCAGCGGGGACAGGGAACGGGGACAGCGGGAACAGGGAACGGGGATAGCGGGGACAGGGAACGGGGACTGCGGGACAGCGGGGACGGGCAGAGGGGGCGAGCGGGCACAGCGCGGGGCTGAGCGGGGCTCACCGGGGATGGGCAGCGGCGGCGGGGGTTGCTCGCTGGGCGAGGACCGGACCCCCGTGCAGGCCCGCGGGGGCGGAGAGCTGCGGAGGGCGTTCGTGAAGCGCCCAGCGACGCCCACATCACGCTTATATTCTATGTATATACCCATATATAAACATATCTGCCTCTGGAACATAAATGAGATTGAGCAAAGCATCCTTGCCTGCTTATCCCCTGAAGGTGACTGGCAGGGTGGGCTCCAGAGCCATCCCAAGACCTGCTGTAGGCATATTTTGGTATCTGTTAGTGCAAGGTGAGTTTATGAGGCAATGATTGCCTGTTTCTGTAAACTGTAAAATTAGGAGCATGAAAAGGGACATTTGACTAACTCCCGAAAAAGGCACTCTATATTTCCATCTTAAAATTTTCTACTTTTTTGGCACTTTTTTTTTTTAAGGAAAAAAATCAATCTTTTCCAGTTTTGCAGCAGGTGTCACTCTGTTGAAAGTAGGATTTGTGCATTACAAAGGCAGTCTAATTCCTCTCCTCCCTGTTCCCATAGTAACTCTCCTAGACGTGCCCCTGTGAAGGCTGCATTTCAAGTACCACCAGCCGTTTCACTGCTGAGCTACTCTGCAGTAATGAAGAATATTTTAAAAGTTTGTGAAACTATTGAAAGCACAGAAAAGTACTAGCACTTACAAAATATGAAGCCTTGCAAGTGTTCCTTTCATCCACAGGCTGTTTGATGTTGGGACACAGTCGCTGTTTCAAGGTTTGGCTGTGATGGTGTCTCAGCTGCTGTGAACATCACTCAGCCTCTCTGTCAGGGACACACAATGTGAGGATGACCTCGTGGGATTTTTCCCGGTGGTGATGTTGCTGTAGAAACAATGGCAGACAATTCTGTGCTCCTCAGGATGTCTCAGACATCTCGCAAACAGCAGCAGCCCATTGCAGTTCTCCTTCGTTAGGCCAGATGTGGGAAAACATCTTGGCAGAATATTCTCAGGAAAGAATACAGAAGCAAAAATGTGTGTGAGGTGTGAGGAGAAATTGAATGATAAATAGTGAAATTTCCTTATTTTCAGCAATTCTTAAGCAGCTTTCTGAAACTGAAGCTCAGAAGCGGAACAGAACTGTGGTATTTTAGAAAAGTGGAAAACCCCCAGTGTTGAACAAAGAAATGTTGATGCTGTTCTCCTCTAGAATTTAATACAATATAATATGTGACACAGTCTTGGTTTTATAGATCTTGCTGGAAAGGGTCACTGCAGTTGAGTAGCAAGACTAGGAATGATCACAGGATGCTCTATTTCTCCCTGTAAGCACTAGAAGGAAGTTACTTAACAAGGAAGTTCCCTGCCCACATGTCCCTTGGCAGTTGATTGGCACTGGCATCTTAAAATGGTGCAAAGTTCTAATAAAGTTTGTCCTGCAATCAGGACAGAAAATCTCTCTGCATGAAGTTTAAAGCATGAGCTGCTTTTCCTCAGAGTGGGCAGTACACCATCCTCTCTGGGCAGGCAGCCTCTTTGCAGTGATTTCATATTTTAATCACTTAGAAATTGGACAAAGAAGTGTCACATGAACAGTCACAGGCCAGCATGATGGAAGAAAAATACAATTTGATCTTAAAATTTTATCTTCTGCTTATTGGGAGCACAATTAAGTAACAATAACTCTTTCTTATCCCATTTCTTGTAGTGGCTGGCACCAACATTGTCCACTTGGCTCCGTGGCTGTGAGCAAAGGCCATGGAAGATCCTGACACGAAGACTGAAGTGGTGCTGCTGGCCTGTGGGTCCTTCAATCCCATCACCAACATGCACCTGAGGCTGTTTGAGCTGGCTAAAGACTACTTCCATGAAACAGGTAGGATGGTTATTTCTATCATTCAGAATAGCTTTGATAACCAGACACTTCAGTGTTAAGGTGAATATTTTGTGTCTATGAATGCTTGACAGTGACAGATATTTAGCAAATGCTAATTAGATATTGAGGCTGATTTATGTTTATGTCTTATACAAAACCACGTAGGCCATTATGAGAGAACTCATATATGTGTTGCTTATTACTGATTTCAATGAGCTAAAGAACAGGGTTTATAGTTTGTAGAAATATATATCTTTCTAATACATCTTACTGACTCCTTCATTCATAACCCCTGACTGTGCAGGAGTATCCTGTATTTTTCCACAGGGCTGGCTATCAGCTGCCATTGCACTGCATAATGGTTATGTCACAGGTTAAATACAATGCAGGGGAAGTAACATCTGCTCAAGCACTTCTCATGTTCTTGTGTTATGTGGTTTTTTTCCACAGGAAAATACAAAGTAATCAAAGGCATCATTTCACCAGTGGGTGATGCATATAAGAAGAAAGGTCTGATCAGTGCGAATCACCGAGTGACTATGGCAAAACTGGCTACAAAAAACTCAGATTGGGTGGAAGTTGATGATTGGGAAAGCTGCCAGAGCGAGTGGTTGGAAACACTCAAGGTTTTAAGGTATTCTTCAGCCAGCCTCTAAAAAGTCTCACGAACCTCTAGAAGGATTAAGAATGGTGTTGACTAACAAAAGTTGGTAGGCCATACTATCCCAATTTTTTCCTACATCTTTAAAATACCTAAAATACATTTGTTTTGCAGGTATCATCATCAAAAGCTTCTCTCTGCCGATGTCACTAATAGTCTGCAGGATGATGTACCCATAACAAAGCTGGGACGGAAGAGAAGACAGGAACCAAACAGGCATGAGCCCATTAAAAAGAAAAATCAGAGTCCAGTTGTAAAAAGTTAAGTCTGTTTGCAAATTAGATGGTTAATGATCCTTGTTATTTCAAGAGAATTGCACCAATGAGTAACTTTTATGGTGGCTCCTGGTTCTGATGCACTCAGTAACTTTATTCCCTTAGATTCCACAGCATAAGGCATTAGATCCCTTTAATGAAGGGACTCCCATAATCTTTATTCAGAAAAAACCTGTGTTATGGCTACTAATTATAAATTATATGCTCTGAATCTTTTTTTTTAATTTAATTCCATTGTCTCATCTTAACCAAAGATACAGAGAGAGAGGGAGCTGAGAAATTAAACGTCCCTGTCAAATTTGCTAAAATCTGCCAAGCCCCAAACCAAGCCCTATTTCTCATTGAATTTTCTCTTTCAGGTGTCCCACAGGTTAAACTGCTTTGTGGAAGTGACATGCTGGAATCTTTTGGAGTCCCCAATCTGTGGAAGCTGGAGGACATCACTGAAATTGTGGAAAAACACGGCCTTGTGTGTATCAGTAGGGCCGGAAACAATGTTCAGAAATTCATCTACGAGTCGGATATTTTGTGGAGACATAAGAATAACATTCACCTCGTGGAAGAATGGATCACAAATGATATTTCCTCCACCAAGATCCGCAGAGCCCTGCGGAGGGGCCAGAGCATCCGTTACCTGGTGCCCGAGGTGGTGCGGGCGTACATCGAGAGGAACGGGCTGTACAGCGCCGAGAGCGAGGCCCGCAACGCGGGGCTGCTCCTGGCCCCCTTGCAGAAACACGCCAGCGACCCCAGGAGCTCACAGCACTGAGCAGCTGACCCACTGCTGCTCTGAGAGAACTACATTGCATACAGGAAAGTGTGTTTTCTAGGGGCTGGCTGGGGCCTTTCCTTAGGGAAAGAGTGGGCTAATTCCGTACATCTGTAGTTAGCAATGGGGCTTGGTGCACTCAGTGATTGGATGTACACAACTTTTTTCAAGTCCAGTAATAAGATTTTCACATTTTAATGTTTTGTCCCAGTGCACTGAAGGGAGTATAAGAATTCACATCGGTACATGAAAATTGCAAATTATAACAAATGAAAATGTTCTGATTGGTTTTAACTCAAACTGCTCTGCTGTTTATAAAATGATAACACAAATATTTTTAATAACTTACAGCGTCTTAACAAAGTTATCTGGTTTCAAGATGTACCATTTACTTACAGTAAATCTATGTCATTTTTTTTTTAATTGTCAACATGTGTCACCTCAAAAAAATTATTTGGCTCTATCCTGGAAAGGTAGAATTTCCTCCTGGCTGAAGTGGTGCTAGGTATAGCATGCTTTGAGCTGCTTGCCTTTGAGATATGCAGCTGCTTGTTTGTTGTCATGCAATTTGCTTCCAGAAATGTCTTGTACTTTACTTTTCTATTCATGTTTCCAGGGCTGTAATGTTAAGCTCAGAATCGTTTCTGATGGAAGGACAAACCTACCTCAGGAACTGGTTTAAAGCCATTGATTTAATAGATAGAAATTAATAATAGTGTCACAGATTCTGAGACACTTGTCCCTTTATTACAAATAACGCATTGATTTCAAATAATAAAGTTTCTTTTACTTTTGAGCCATAAATAGAATATAATTATATTTAGCCAGAATTGTTTTCTGTTAGTAGAGAGAAAATTGTAGTATATCAATACTGCTCCTAAGTGAAATACTTTTCTTTTCTGGAAATCTGGTTTTGAATCTAACAGGGTATTGTCTATATTATGTGAACATAAGCTAGAGAGGCACTGTGACTGTTGTGGTGATAGAATTCTAACTCCTTTTATTTTATTTGCTGCTATCTCATTTTTGTTTGGATTATGTGCCTTATTAAGAATGCCAAGGTTTGCAAGCCACTTCTCATGAATCAACAACTCTCTAGAGGTCTTTGTGTGAGGTTTAAGTACTGATTTACAGAAAGAAGGACCACACCCCAGCCTATCTGCATAATTTAAATTAAAATGTTATATCTGGACTTTGGCACAGGATTTACCAAGTCCTGACTTCTCTTTGCTCGCAAGAGGCAATAGTATTGCAACAGTGCTTTACTACCATAACCTCAGAACACCAAATTGTGGGTGAAATGTTACTATTTGAGTCAAGAGGAAACAGTAATTTTCATTTCTCAGTGCCATTCCTGTTTTAGTGTAGGTTAGAGAACAATATCCAGCTGCTAACAGGAAAGAAGCTTTGACGTCCTGAGTTCCTACTCGCATGATTCTGTGAGTCATATCGATCAAACTGCCAGCTCCAAAAATGGAGCTAAACTTTGGGGAAACTTCTCTGCAAAATATTGTCCTTCCTATTCAGCCTAACACAAGTCAGTAAATAAATAAATGTAGTAGGTATAGGTGTGTTTCCTCACCTCGAAATCCCTTATTTCCTTACTCCAAATTCTCTAAGTCCTTTCTCTTCAAAGTCAAGCATTTTTTAGTCACTTTTCAAAACACATTGCTGGGTCATCAGGGATTTCTGTCACTTCTTTGCTGAAGGTGAAGTCCAACACTGAAGCTTATCTGCTGCCTCATGCACTCTGCTGCCTGTGTTCTGCCACAACATGTAGCATCTAATAAAGCATCAGTGGGAACAGCTCCTGTATCAGCTCTCCTTTATGTGTCAAGAACAGAAAGCAAAAGCAGGAGCTACATTTCCTATATACACAAGATTACTTTTTGAATTCTGTTTACTACTCACTCCAGACATAAACCAACATGATGTAGTTCTTATCTCTGTGCCATAGGTATCACTTTAAGATTTGTTGGTATAATACAATCCACAGTTTACCAGTCAGTCTGTGTCTGTTAAGTACAGCCTGTCTTTACAGGGGTACATCACCTTTTCAACAGATATCTGGATTTCAGATCATAAAGCCCAGATTTAATAAACTTACAGGAAAACTTAGTAATGACAAAATCAGTCCTTTTAAAGTATACAAGATGGACAAAATGGTTTAAACCAGTTTTTGGCTTGCATTGTGGCTCTTGGGCTATTAACATTTGCTAACACAAAGATTTCAGACACGGTGAACTTTTCCCTCCAGCACAGCTGAAGCCATTCTACAAATACCCTCTCACCCACTGGCTCAGCACCCTTCCCCTCCAGCAGAAAGGTCCTGGGATGTAATCCCACCCACAGGCTGCCCTATAAAAGGCCTAGCTAGAAAACTACATTTGCATTTTTGACTGGATCTTCCTCCTTCTGTGTGGCAATGCCTGTGGATTTCAGCGGAACCTGGAACCTTGTCAGCAATGACAACTTCGAAGGTTACATGGTGGCCTTAGGTAGGTGAAAATACCTGCTTCTGTCCTTTCTCCCTTAAGGGGCTTCTTGAATTTTAAGGCCTGTCCTTTATTTCACCCTGTTTAAGGTATATAATGCCTTAAAGAGAGTCTTGTTAATTCTTTCATTGCCTTTCCTCTGACAAAGGATGAGAATGGGCATTCACCTCGTATGGGTAAGGGGGAGTAAAGTCTGAAACCAAGTTTGGGTGTCTCTGTGGGGGAAGCCAACTCTCTCCAGGAGTCTTCTGTCTGAAAGTCCTGGAAATGCTGCTGCATAGGAATTGTACAACATCTGAATAAACTGGTTTTCAAAGAGTAAAAAGTACAAGAGGACGACTTACTTTGTGTAACATGCAGCTTTAAACAAAACAAAAGGTTCCAATAAAACAACAAATTGCTGCGTAGCAGTGAGGTTAAACCACTGTAAGAAATGCTTCTGGTAGTAATAAAGGTTAATTCCTGGCTGCCAGAATGGCTGGTGATAAACTCTGATGTTTTTGCCTTCTGTCCAAGGTATTGACTTTGCAACACGCAAAATAGCAAAAATGCTGAAGCCTCAGAAAGTGATCAAACAGGACGGCGATTCATTCTATATCCATACCACTAGCTCGTTCAGAGATTATTTGCTTGAATTCAAAGTTGGAGAAGAGTTTGAGGAAGATAATAAAGGCTTGGATAACAGAAAATGCAAGGTAAGAGGGAATATATGAGGCTGTGGCAAAATTAAGATGCCACGATCAGTCCAGATATTTGAGCTGAAATTGTTTCAAGAATAAGATTTGTAGTGCAAGACAGCAGCAGGAGCCTGAGTTACAGACAAGGAGTGGCACTTTCAGCCAGGGGTGATATCTAGGTCCTCTTTTATCCAGGAAAATTTTCTGTGAGTATCTTGCAGAACTGAGACAGACATGCAGAAACAACAGAAACACCTTTTTGTTCCCTGTTCTATAGAGCCTCGTTACCTGGGAAAATGACAAACTCGTCTGTGTCCAGACCGGTGAGAAGAAGAACAGGGGCTGGACTCACTGGCTCGAAGGGGATGACCTCCACCTGGTATTGACTTCAGATTTCTACTAATTATATCTCTGTATGGCGAAAATCAGATTTATAATGTGTTCATGGTGTGTCTTCTAGCTCTGTAGGCTGTGTAATGGATGGTAGATTGTGAGCACATTCTGCTTTGAAACAGCTTCATTGTTTCACTGTCACGTGTAGTTAAATTCAAAAGTGAAGTGTAAGCTATTAGCATGGCCAGGGTGGTGGTAAAGGATCTATGTTCAATTTTGGAAGCAGTTCCTTTGATTACTGTAGAAATCTAAACTCTTGGGTTTTCTGTTTGTTTGTTTTTGGTTTTTTTGGTAGGAGCTTCGTTGTGAGAATCAGGTCTGCAGACAGGTCTTCAAGAGAGCCTGAGTCTGTGTGGTGTGCTGGGTGCTGCCTGCAGGGACAGCTCTGCTCAGGAGCCGTGTCCAGGGAGAGCTCTACTGACAAGAACTGGCTCCTGTACCTGTTAACCTGAATGGTCTGAAGTTTCTGGCTCAGGAAATAAGTCTGCTGTTGCCAGTGTTAAAGGTCTGATTTTTGCTAATAAATGCCTCAAACGAACCTTAAGTATCTTGTTTTTGAATATGTTTTTGGAGGAAAAAAAAAAACCAACCCAAAGCATAAGTGATGAGGCCTGGGTCTCTAGGTTATCAAAAGTCAATTAAAAGGAGAAAACCTGCCAATTCTAAGAGGAATTCAAAGAGGCAAATAAAACGGGGGTAATGGGATGCTGATAGAGAAGGGAAGATAAATAATGAAGCCAACAACAAAAGGTATGGATTTATTTTTCAAAATGCTTCTCTTTAAGGCGTAGACTACTACTTTACCTGCTTGTGTCTTTCATGCTGTAGTGTGAGGCACCATATTGTGCCAGAGCTGCTTTGTTCTCAAAAATAATTAAGTTGAGCTTACCAGAGGAAACAAGGCTGTGGTCAAATCCCAGAACCATGAAGATGGGTCTGAGTGATCCATGAAGATTCCAGTCTGCAAAATAATTGAACTCTGTAAGCACATATACAGAGGGAAAACAATGCTGCTTTAGTTCAGCTTTGTTTGCATACAACTGTTAATTAGAATAAATATTTTTCTTTATCACCGTGTGCAGTATTGCATAGAAAAGTTTTTCTTGCGTGAACATGTAAGTTGTCAGATAAACTAGGTAGTTACAAATTAAATTAGTTGCTGCACATTCTTCATTGCATATTCTTGAAGAACTGTAGCTTAAGTTTAGTAACTTAATTACTTTATATGAAATAAATTGTCCCTGACATTCTGAAACAAGTAGCACCACCTTTCTGATACTTCTTATCCATTCAAAACGCTTACAGACCCCATCAGAGTCAGACAAAAATCTGTTGAAGCATGGAGGGCTTTTGGTTAGATTGACGCCCTCCCCTAATTACCAGACTTACATAAATTTAAGCTGGTTTCCAAAATAAAAAGAACAGGACAAATAGCCTTTATACAGTTCGGGAAATGTGGGGCCCAGCAGTAAAATGCCTGGCGTTTATGCTGTGGATTCTGCCAGCGTCTTCCTTCTGGGACTGAGTGGTTTCATTTGCTTGAAAACAGAACTGCTGTTAGAGCGTTCTGTGAGTAGGAATCCCAATCCTGGGCAGCAGCCCCGCTCACAGCCCTTAACAAACTGCAGCAGCAGCAGGCAGAGCTTTCTGCGCCAGCGGATGGCGCCTCTGCAGCGCGGCTCCTCCACGGAACGGGCCGTGCTCAGTGCCGAGGGTGCAGGGGTTAAACACGCGGAAATTCCGCAGAAATTCTCCAACTGCTTCCAAGCTGCGCTCTCCAGCAAAACCGCTGTGAGACGCAATACAGAAAGGCAGTAATGACCTTGAAGGACGAGAATAGAACTCCCCAGAGAAGCACTTGAAGGGTTTTACTCAAAGGTGTTTCAGACCACTTCAATTATCTTAAAAAAAAATCCCAAGGAGATAAACACAAAATGAAGTGTAATGTAAAAATCAAAGGTAACAGTGTACGTCTATTCTATAAAAAGGCTGGCAGTATATATTATGATCCAAGTATTGGTTTCCTTTCTGAGCACCCTGGTTAAGTCATCAAAATATTTTGTTCAAAATAATTTAGATCAATAAAGTACAATAAAGATGTATATGAAAACATAAGGCCAGATAGCCTACCTGCCTCATCTCTGCATTTAAAAAATGGATCAATTCTACTGCTATATAATTATTTGCAGCGTGTATGAAAATATGTCCTAATAGCTCATGTGGATCAGTTTAGTTCCATCTTGAGAACATCCAGTTTTTACGGGATTCTTTCCCTTGCTGACTCAAACCACACTGCCCCATGGACGGCTCACTGTTCAGGTCACATTATTAGTGACTGTTCATCCTGGGCTAAAAACTTGGAGATGCAACCCTCAATTCGTTTATCCTTTGTCAAAAGAGCACCTTATAAATATCCTTTTCTCTTTCATCTACATGTATTATAACTCAAACAAGATGAGCTGGGGATGAACCTCCTATGTACTTACATGCAACCTGGCTGTTTTTTTCTGTGGCTGAGTGTGAGGGAAAAGACTAATATCTTCCAGAAATATAGTATTTTGTGGTATAATGAGGGAATTAGGTGCAGAAAAGTTTGTAATAAGGAAAAAAAAAAAACCGTAATGTTCAAACTACACTGATAAAAGTCCGAGACCAAGTACCCAACGGGGTCTTGGCATCTTGTTTTTTCCTTGCTCTGTTACTCAGCTCGCAATAATTAGATTTACATCCCGTGAATTCTCAATCACCCCTCACTGACAAGGGGTTAATATTTTCGGGCCCATTGGAGAGGGAAGGCTTCGGCAGCTTGACCCTCCCTGGGGTCGCGGCGCCCCTGAGGGGCAGCTGCCCCCTTCCGGGCCGTGTTCCCGTTCCCGCCTCCCCGGGCCCCTCACGAACCGCGGCCCCTCACGAGCCCCGGGCCCGCCTTTCCCGGGCCCCGCCCAGGCCCCGCCCCTCCCTCCCCTCGGGCCGCTGCCATTGGCCAGCGCGGCGCGCGCGCGGCCCCGGCGTGCTCCGCCCTCCGCGGGGTCACGTGATCCCCAAGATGGCCGCCGCCGCCCTGTTGTTTTGATGAATAATCTCTGCGCGGGGCAGCGGCCGCGGGCGGGCGGGGGCCGGGGCCGGGAGCTCTGAGGGTCGCGGGTGCACCGGGAGGGCAGCTTCCCCTCGGCCGCGGCGGCAGCTGAGGCGCGGGTGGGCGGCGGGGAGCGGGCCGGGGGCGGCGGTGCTGCCGGCGGGCGAGGCGCGGCGCGGTCGCCCCGGAGATGCCCTTGTGAGGCGGCCCGGGGGGCAGCGGCAGCAGGAGAGCGCTGCCTCGGAGCGGCCCCGCGGCGGGGCGGAGGAACGCGCCCCTCCTCCGGGCACCATTAAGAGGAAGGCGATGGAGGAGCTGAGCGCGGACGAGGTGAGTGCGCGGGGCCGGGGCCTGAGGGGCGGGTGGGCCCGCGGGGAGGGGGCGCCAGGCTGTGCTGGGCCCGGCTCGGGCCCGAGGGTGGGCACGGAACCATCCTGAAGAGCTCTGCCTTCGCCCCCTCTCTGTGCTCGGTGGGTTTTTCTCCCCTCCTGTCCCCGGGCTGGCCCTGACCCGCGACCCTCCGGCTCGGCCACGGGGTTGTGTTGCTGCTCTCCTGGTTAATTGTTTATTCTCTGCTTCCATCTGCTAGGTAGCCTTTGTCTGCAGCGTCTTCCCTCTCTGTGTCAATACTAGGCGTTTATGTGTTCTTTGTGTGTGATTCGAAACACCCAACCTTTTAACATAGTAAAACACTTGAAATTTTGCTTCCTTAGACTCTTTGCTGAGAAGCAAGATGGGTGTGTTCGTGGTCTTATATTTAGTATCATTTCTTCTTGAAGCAGCTTGAATCAGGCTTGTCAGTTTTCCACTGTTTCCTTTGATTTTCTTTATTTATTCAAGCTCTTCATCTTTCACTGAAGAATTCTAGTGTTATGCTGTAGTTGGCAAACGTCTATAATGTATATATTCTATTCACATCGAATAAGGTGAACTATTCCTTGTTTCTTTCTTTTAAAGGATGCTGCTTCCCCTGTTTTTTAATATATAATTAAGGTCTTAAGGTTTGCCTATATATTAGAGGGTTTTCAAATTAATTATTTGGGTTATTGTAGCAAGATCCAGGGAGTTTCCCAGTGATCCTGTGTAATCCTGAAATCAAAATGTGTTGTACTGGACCTGCTGAAATACAGACTCAGTGCTATACTTATAATCCAGGGAGGATCAAAAGAAGTTATTTTTATTCTGTCCATATCTCAAATAGTGGGATGGTAGGGCAGGGTGGCTGCTGTTGGCACTCAGATTTGTATTCCAAAAAGTTGGGATGTTTTTGATGATGTTGTCTGTCACAATTTAGTAATCCTCCTGTGTTGCATCATGATCTAGGAGAAAACACTTTTTGCTGTGTACTTGGTGGAGGTCCTCATGCTCTGTGGAAGCACTGAGAAAAGGAGAGCAGTTCCCATGTTGGGAGGAGTGGGATGGGACACTGGTGGTGTAAGTCTGCTGGGAAAAAGGATCTCCAGTTTTACAGGTGTATTTCATGAGTGCTTTGTTTACCTGCAGCTCTTCTCGTTGTTAAAGTGCCCTGATCCTGAGGTGTTTTATGATTAATTTCAGAATTATTTAACCTATGTAGGCTTATTTGTGTCACTGCCTCAGCACATTACTGACATCATCAAAACCACTGCATCATGGATCTGAGGCTGCAGGAAAGGAGTTCTCCAGTGAGGACTCATCCACCTTTTTTGGCCAAATGTTTGTCTCAAGTGACTTTCCATGTCCTTCTTGTCCAGTTCAGCAAGGACCAAACCAAATGGTCTTTTAGGTGATTGCTTGTGACAGTCTTGTATCATTTTAACAGAGTCACAGTGTCACTTCTTGTTATTAATGGATTGCTCACTGAAAAGTCAGAGCCAAGTTGATTTTAATTTTCCTCCACATCTCCACTTTGCTGTTACTTGGCACAGTGGGCCTGGATGAGATTATATTGAAAAATAACCTTCTGAAATATACTTCATGTTACTTCTTCAGATTCAGACTTTTTTTCAGGCAACGACTGAAGGTGAGAAAATACTTAACGGAAGTTTAATTGCAAGGCTCTTACAGATAAGGTTATCTTCTGTTATCAAACCATAATTAAATATAACACTAACGGGTTGCAGCTTCAAAAGAGGAGATACACAGTTGATCATACTTGTATTTTAGTTTCAAGAAGATCTTTTCCCCTCCTATTAACAGTGTCTCTCACTGACATTTTCTTACTGTTCTCTTTGTTAATGCACTAAAAGTTGTAATTCATTACAGACCATAATAAAATTTTTAGGAGAGGGAAGAAATAAATTTCCTTCTTAGTATGTGAGTTTTAGCACAGTAGATAGTGCAAGATGAGAACAGGGACTTCACAGAATTGAATAGGAGATTTATTTACAGTCTCACTAAGCAGTTGCCACTCTAGCAGATATGGATACACAATGTTTTTAAACTGAGAATGTGTGAGCCTGAGGGACTGGTCTTCCTGGTTG